CTCGTGTGGATCCTGCTCAAGCAGCTGCGACCAGGCATGGACCTGTCACGCGTGGCGCTGCCCACTTTCGTGCTGGAGCCCCGCTCCTTCCTCAACAAGCTCGCCGACTACTATTACCACGCCGACCTGCTCTCGCGGTGCGTGCCGGCCCCCGCCCCCCCCCCGGGCTCCCATCCCCCAGCTGTGGCCTCCCAGGGAGCCCCGTCTCCAAGTCCAGCCTGGGAGGAGCGGGTGGCTCTGTCAAGGTCAGGGCTGTCAGGGGTGAGCATGGGGTCAGGTCCTGAGCGCCTGCTGTATACCCCAAGCCCTGCGCCCCCAAGCTGGACAGGATGGGGCCTGCAGGCCCAGCGGACGTAGGGGGCAGGCTGAGGGCAGGAGCATCTGGGGGACTTCCTGGAGGTGGAGGCACCCTGGTAGCCCCGGGCCGGTGGCACCCTCTCTGCCCCAGCAAGGGGGCGGACAGCCCTGGCACTTTCTGGGTGGGAAAACCCACCTCTTGGGAGAGGATTCCCCTGCCAGGGGCTGCCTGACAGAATGGGGCCATCCAGAGCGTCTGGGTCTAGGCGGGCAGGGTCAGGAAGGGAGGGCGGTCAGGGCCCCTGAGCGGGTGGGTCATGGTCTCCCGCTGCATTGCAGGGCCGCCGTGGAAGATGATGCTTATGGCCGCATCAAGCTGGTGCTGCGGTGGTACCTGTCCGGCTTCTACAAGAAGCCCAAGGTAGGATGTGGCCGGGGAGGGCGGGGCCAGGCCTGGGGTCTGTCCACTCTGCCCTTGGCCCTTGGCCCTTGCAGGCACCCCAGGGCCGCCCCTGCCCCGCGACCTTGAAGGGTCCTGGTCGTTCCGGCACGGGCGGGGCCCTGACTTCCACCTCCAGGGTTGGTCCTGTCTCCTGAAGGCCCCCGAGCTGGACCCCCGTCCATACCCAGGGAGGCTGCCTCAGGTCGAGTTCGAGCCACAGCCACAGGCAGCCGTGCCGGGCTTCCAACCCCGGGCCTCCAGGGATCCTCAGGGGTCTGTGGTTCTCGTCACCTTTTAGTTGGGGATGCCCGATGGGGCCCGGGACTCGGGTGGCGACAGCTCCTCTGGCTGTCGTGGTGGGAGGGGCCTGAGGCTCCCCCCGCTCCCTGGCCCACCCCCCAAATCGAACCCCGGGGTTCCACGGGACCCACACTTGGGAACCGCCATCCTGTCTCCACCTCTTCATTGTGCAGAAGGGGAAACGGAGGCTCAGAGAGGGAAAGGGACAGCCCAAGTCACACAGCAGAGGCTCCCCACCGCCTGTCGCCTTCCCAGGGCTGCACAGAAGCCCAGCGGGTCCGTGACCCAGCCGGGGTCCTCGTGTCCCCGGAACTGCCCCGCCCCCAGAATGTCAACCACGGGCCCTGCAGGGTCTCCCAAGAGCAGATGTGGGGCGCTGTCCCCAGAGGCCGCCCCTGCTGGGGTCCCTCCAGCCACAGCCGCCAGCCTGCCGGGGGCCAGTCCTACCCCCCAGCTCCTCCACGCCCCCCTACCCCGTTCCTGCTTGCAGGGAATCAAGAAGCCCTACAACCCCATCCTGGGGGAGACCTTCCGCTGCCGCTGGTTCCACCCACAGACCGACAGCCACACGTTTTACATCGCCGAGCAGGTGAGGGCTGCTCCCACGTCCTGCCCGCTGAGGGCCCCGCAGTCCACGGGGCTTTTCCCAAAAGGGTGGGCACAGCGCCATGGCCATCACGGCAGGGGCGTCTCCCTAGGGGGAGGGCACCCCATCTCCCAAGGGCCTCTAGGGCAATTCCAGGACTCGCCTCTGCTCCTGGGTCCCGTGACGCAGGCCCCCGCTGTCCCAGGCCTCGTGAGCGGGAGCCGGGGAGGCCCCCACGCCCAGCCTGGGCCTGGGAGGGAAGCCGGCCCCGACCTCCCCGGGGCTGCTGTCCCAGGCTGTCAACTGTGCTGTCCCTGTTCCCAGGTGTCCCACCACCCGCCCGTGTCCGCCTTCCACGTCAGCAACCGCAAGGATGGCTTCTGCGTCAGCGGCAGCATCACGGCCAAGTCCAGGTTCTACGGTGAGGGGCCACCCCTGGGCGCCTCCTGGGGCCTCGGGGGAATGGGGGGCTGGGCTCCAGGAGCCGAAGGCCCCGAGACTTCAAGCAGGGGCCCTGTGGTCAGAAGCCCCATGGTGGTGAAAGTGCCCCAGCCCTGGCGTGGACAGAGCCAGTGCAGAACTGCCGACGGCTGGGAGCGGGTGCCCGGGCAGGCGTGCAGGACGGTCAGGGACAGCCCGCACCACAGGGCTCCAAGGCCACACGTGGCTGGTGGCCCCCAAGTGGAACAGGCAGGATAGGACATTCCCGTCTTCACAGGAAGTCATGCTGGGCAGGGCTACTCTGGGGTCTAGTGGCTGCGAGTCCCAGAAGATATCTGTTTCCATTTTCCCATCAGACATGTCTTTTTTTCTTTTCTTTTTTTTTTTTTTTTGCATCGGGGTTTCACTCTGTCGCCCAGGCTGGAGTATAGTACCACAATCATGGCTCACCGTAGCCTCGACCTCCTGGACTCAGGCAACCCTCCCACCTCAGCCTCCCAAGTAGCTGGAACCACAGGCACACCCCACCACACCTGGCTAATTTTTTGATTTATTGTAGAGACAAGGTTTCGCCAAGTTGCCCAGGCTGGTCTCGACCCCCTGGACTCAGGCAGTCCTCCCGCCTCAGCCTCCCAAAGTGCTGGGATGACAGGCGTGAGTCTCCACGCCCAGCCAGGAGAGCCTCTTGGGCAAGTGTGTGCTGAGCACCTCTTCTCGCCCTCCATCTGTGCAGGCACCCCCTTTTCTACCCTATGCTCCCCTCACCAGCAGCGCCTGCAGGTTTCAGCTTAGAGAGTGGCGCGTGCCCTCGACGGGGGTGCTTGAAATCTGAGGGGCAGCTGGGCATGGTGGCTCACGCCTATAATCCCAGCACTTTGGGAGGCCAAGGTGAGAGGA